GAGGCATAAAATGCTGCGAATGCTGGAAATGTCGAAAATTAGAAAACTTTGAACAACAATTCAGCCCTGTATACCGTTTTTTCGCCTTTTTGGGGGGCCCTCGTCATTATTATTATCGACTACGACGACGAGCCTCAAAGTTTTCAAGTGCTTAAGCTTTTATCGCCGGCGCCTGCCTGATGCCTGATGCCTGATAAACTCCAATAATCCAGCCAGTACATGTGCCTGCTTACCTGTAGATAAAAATAAACATGCCCCACCCCCACTTATAAGACAGTCGCAACACGAATTCGATTTCCACAGATGAAAAGTGTGCGGCATAATGTAATATTTCTCCTTTTCGCTCGTAAAAAGTTGCCGAGCAACAGTTCGCAGTTTCCAAATACACACACACATGCACGTACACACACACACACACGAGTGTGCTTCTATGTGGGCTCCATTTCCGCTCGCAACACGTTATTGCAATATGGCGGCTTCCGCTGCAGATCCGCCATGGAGAAAGTCAATTCGGACGTGTGGTTGTTGCTGCTGCGCATGTACACGCCATGAATATGTTATGAAGCCACCAACTTACCAACTACTAGGACACGGCAAAAAATAATAAAACCCGAGGGGAATTTACAGCAGCCGATTGAAATGCTTTTGACTGGCAGCGAACAATGTGCACCTCAAATACATAGTGGCCTAACGTTTGGAAAACATGCTTGCAGTTCAGTTTTAAACTAACTCCATATCTATATGAAAACTTCCATTTCCAAATTTGGTTGTCAGATTAGTTGAAAGGCTCTTAAATCAACTGAATTGCGAGTTGAAGGGGGCAGAGTTGACGTTTTTCTTGGTGCACACATGCCACACACAACTACAGCAACAATCGCAACCTTCATGCGCAACTGCACCGCAATGACTTCCGTTTTGGGGCATAGAAAACGCTAGACAGAAGGCCCCGAGCAGATTGCATTTGCGGTCCGCTTTGTTTATCTGTGCATGGGCATGTGTGTATTTTGCCTTTTGTAAATAGAGAGCACATGCACATCGTTGTTCCAGTGTGCGAACATCATAATTTGCATTATGTTTATGTGCCTGCCTTTCAGTTTCGCCTTTCGTATTTGTGTTTGCCCCCAGGGGGATGCGTTGCAATTTAACTGGCATGCTGAACCCTCCACGCCCTGCCACCGCCCCTTCGTTCTCACTCGTTTAATTAGTTTTATTTACGTTTTGATTGCTTTAATTTGTTGTTCAGTTATGTACACACACATCCGAGAACACAACAAAAAACAAAAAAAAAGCGAAACAAACACGCAAATTTTCAGAGAGCAAGAAACCAGCCGAACAACTGTAAATAGGCAGACAACAAAATGCTTTTGTTTAGGCTCTAGGCTAATAAATCTAGACTTTGCCATATCTATATATATATATTCCTAGCGATTGTTAAGAGTTGAATAGCGACAGGCATTCGCAGGAGGAGCCTTTGTGATCCGTGAACTAACGAGCTTTTTGGTCGCCACAGGAGCAAATTGCCCGCGAGAAGCTGGTCACCGGAAGGGTCCAGATCCAGGTCTGGTACCATGCGGAGCGCAACGAGCTGGTCGTCTCCCTAATGGCCGGCGATGACCTGGCATTGAGGGATGAGGCCTACGGACACGGCAATCTGCCCGAGGCCTACGCCAAGGTCCGCATTCTGCCCAAATGGTGAGTAAAAACGTAATGGTTCCTGCTCGGGCGCCATTGCTAGATTGATTGGTTAGATTGATAGACTTGGGAAAAGAGAAGCATCCGGAAATCACTAGGGTTTTAAACACAACGCTATTTAGTCCACTGCATACTTTGCAGCACTTGCTGAAATTTCATACAACTTTCAAACTTCTATTACGGACTCCTAAATTTTATTTCCACCTGCAGTGGCGATGGCAGCGTGCAACAAACGGAGGTCAGCCGACCCACCCAGAATCCCATTTGGAACGCCACACTGACCTTCGGCCATGTGAAGGCCGACACCTTGATGGATCGCTACATAGACATTCAGCTGTGGGACCTGGTGCCCCACACCGAGTCCATTTTCCTGGGCGAGTGCAGCATCGAGCTGCAGCAGGCATTCCTCGACGACCAGGCCATCTGGTGCCGCTTGGAGGACACCAAAGGACTGCGTGGCATTAGCATCAGCAAATCGCCGAGTGTTTCGCCACGCGGCTCCATTGCAGCCGGCGCAGGAGCACCTAGTGGCGATGTGACCCGGTTGCTGCGCCGCGACTACAATATGCAGCGCTCCAACTCCGATGATGTAGACTCCATCGGAGATGGAACTTCGCTGCTGCATCCGGATCACGCCTGGATAGCTGGCTCGCGACGCGGTTCCTCCCAGTCGGAAACCATGGAGGTGGAGGTCTACCAGCTGGGCAAGGACTTCTCGCGCTCATTGCCGGGTTCGCGTCGATCGAGCTTCCAGGATGCCGAAAAGAATCGGCTGGAGGAGGACGCCATGGCCACGCCGCCCACCTCCTATCTGGTGGGCCGGCGCCGTTCGTCCGTGGCTCGGCGCGATCCGGATGAGATCTTGAAATCCTTGAAGGCTGTCCGCGGCGAGCTGGGGCGCACCATGAGTCTGGGTACCGAGCAGCACAAGCGCATGGGATCGAGACGTGAGTAGGGGGAATAACACTGAAAACAAATAGGTTGACATAAGGTAATGCCCAAGAGCACCAAGCGATTAGCAAAATTAAGCGATTGATTCAAGTCTTTTCTAATAGAAATTCATTTAGTTCCTTAATTTCTCGAAGAAGGATCCCTGCTCGGGTGCCAAGTTAAAATAAAACTTGTAATCACGATTAGTTATGCTATGAGCTAAACGCTCTTGAGAAGTATAGTATGTCACCGAAATGGGGAGGGGTCTGAATTGCTAAAGGAAATCTTTTCAGTTAGTATGATTATCCGTACCACAACACCGAGATCTGAGCCACTCACTGCAAGAATCTCTTGCTGCCTTTCACCTCTTCTATCTGCTATATTCCTGTGTCTCTTTGCATTTCCTTTGATACCCACTAAACCCCAACTGTGCCTTGCTGCTACATGCTATGTGGACACCCACTATACCTGACACTGCATCTTACACATATGAATCTGCCACTGTCTCTATCTAATAACTTCTTCCATGTCTTTCCCCATATTAGCCACAATATCGGTGTCGCATTATCAAAGCTTTGACACACCCTACACAAACTGGACAAAACACTAAACGAAAGCCCAGCAAAGCCACACAAATCTTAATTAAATCCAATCCAAAATCAAGTAAACTATGCATAAAGCACTAACTAAAGTCACTTATTTAAAGCCCTCAGCACCTGTCAGTTACTCGTAATTCTTTTCCTTAATCTAACCTAATGAAAAGGGCTCACTCTCGAGTGGGCCAACAAGCACCACACTGCACCACCAGAGCAACCACAAATGGTAGAGAACAGAAAACAGAATACTTAAAACCGAAAAAAACTGAAAAAGCAAAAAAAACCTTTTAAACCCCTTTGTAAACTAAACAAGAAATCCAAGAAGAACGTAGAAATACCTGCAAATTGAGCTTAGCAGCAAGTATTTAACAAACATAAACTGCAATAAAGCAAGAACTACAGTATGTACCACACTAGAAACACCACCAAAACATCACTCACCACTGGTAAGAATGCAAAATGAACTTGAGTTGAGATTGAGTTGCGTTTGGCATTTTGGTTTCTTCTTTTTCAACCTTAATTAGCGCCGTAAACCTGGAGTTCTCGATTCCAGCTAGCTCTGCATGCAAGCCACCTAATTAACGCCCAATTTCACACACAATTACTTAGTTGTAGCCGTCTATATACGCTCGCATGCATGTTATCCGAGCAGCGGAAAGCCGAAATCTCATTACACACTCATCCAGGCTCACGTGCTGCTTGATAATCCACTGGAGGACACCCGGGTCTCATGAAAACTTCTCGTCTGCGGCTGGGGCTTATTTAAGCTTATTGATGCTATTTTCGCAGTCCCGAAAAAGTTCCGAAAAAAACACAGGACAAAGCCAGAAACTCGGAGTAAATGCGTGTTTTAAATGCAAAGCTCGGCGAGGGAAACCCCCTTATTACCTGTTGGCTTTGCCACAGTTCGCCGCTCTCGTAAACCCTTCAACGCCCCGTCGAAATAGCTGAGCCTTGAAATGAACTTTTCAAAAGCAGAAGCGGCGCAAATGCGAAATATGAAAACTCACAGCCACAGAAGGCAGACAACAGAACTTGGCCAAAACTCGCATTTCCCAGAGCCACAAACAAGCCGTTAAATATGAAAATAAGCAGAGTCGCTGTCTGGGAAAAGTCCTCTACACACACACACACCCATATATATGTATGTATATATACCACATATGTACCATATATATACAAGCTGTATTCGGAATTGACGGCTCCATTCTCGCCGGGGATCCTTGCTGCCAAGCTGTCCCTATTGTAGTGCCAGTTCAGCAAAAAGCTGCCCGTCTTTGCCAATATGTTTTTCTGCTTCTCGCTTCCCGTTTTCCTTCCTTCACTTCCATTCCCTTCGATTCGATTCGATTCGATTTTCTTGCTCGACAGTTATTATTAAGCCGCTTAGCGATTGCCTCGTCTTCCGTTTCCGCTTTGCCTTTTACGCACACTCATATCCGCTGGGCTCGAACACACCAACACCAACAGGGAAAAATCCACTCAGGACTATATAAACGCAGCTGTCGCCAAGTTTATTTGACGTTTATTTTATTTTCGGCTGGTGTACAAAAATATTTGAACTTTCGCCATAATCCTTTTTCCGTTCTGAGCGCAGGGGCACATCAAATTTGTACTGCGTGCTGTGCGCCCAATTGATTGAATGATTGATGGCCCGATTGGCAGGACTGATAGGGAAGAGCCACAAAACCTCAAGTAGTTGCGCATATCATGCATACCATTGCCAAACGAACGAATTCTGACTTTGAAAAAGAAGCTCATATATAAATGTATTTACTAATTTATTAATTTGAAAAGCTAGAGTGTTGATACTCGGTTGGTAGGCAGTACACAAGGATGCCGGAGACTAGTAAAATTGAATTATCAATCATAACATTATGGTTGTGGGTAAAGTTAACGCTTACCCAAGAGAAATACAATGAATGTATTAAAGGTAACATAGCAGCTGTGCGACAAGGTATATCCAACATACACACTGGTTAACAAAATCCCGGACCGACCTGTCATCGTGATTAGAGCAGCGGCCTTGCCCCTGGAAATCAGCGTGGAAACTCATATTGCAATATTCGAGGGAAACGATGGATGGATCGCTTACCTGAGATGAGTGGGTACGAGATCTATGAGCAAGGAACTTGCCAACCTGACGCTGCATAGGAGCGGATCGATTATGGCGAAGAAACTAATCAGTATCATGGTGGAATGCACCATAAAGTTAAGGGCCACGCATCCCAAAATGGAAATGATCACAAAGGCTATAATCACCACTCGACGACTCAGCCAACTCAAGACAACACTGGTGACTATAAAAACGCCGAGGACAACGCATCCGTGAATCATTGGATCCGTCATTTGCGCATAGGTCAGGATGCACTGCAAGAAACAGGGAGTAGAAACGGTTCGAACTGCACTGCAATCGTACCTCTGTTTCGCCATGCGACTCTGTACCAATTCCTTCCAGGCGATCGCATAATGGCACCATCTCTTCGTAGGTTGCCGTAAGAACCCTGATTCGCAACACCCAGATGGGCAGAGCCAAACCTCTTAAAAGGAAAGGGTAGAGATAGAAAAAGGGCCAACAACTTGCCAGTTTGGACTTACAGGCCCGTCAGGGTAAAAAATATGATGAAGAAAAACCACATGATCTTGCCATGTTTTACCAATAGCTGTTTGGTGCCGTAACACCGTCCGCGCATCTCGGATCTGGCAACAAGGATTAGGAATGAGTTAGCATCCCAATACTGTGTCAAAAACTGGATCCTTACGCTAGACGCAGGCGCGGCTGGGTGAGCGACTCCACTCCCAGACTCTTTAGAGTGACCTCCTTGCCCTTGTTCATTCGGCAGACCCTTTCCATGACGTGCATGGCCTTCTCCTGGTTGTCAATCGACAGATAGTACTTCGGACTCTCGGGCAGGAATATCAGAAGGATTATTCCGATGATTCCGGGCAGCTGGTTGCACACCAGCAGGATGCGCCAGCCACTGGGCTCCATTCGCTTGGACAGCAGAGCACCGGCCAGAGCTGGAGGAAGGAGAAATCTGCTCATCTGAAGATGGTAGTGAATCGATTCTTACACGGCACGTAGATCATGCTCATCCCGAGGGAATAGCTCATAATGGTCAGCACCCTGGGTCGCAAGGAGATCTTCGTGAATTCACTCAAGTAGGTCATTAGGCAAACAACTAACGCCACAATGCTAAGCGTGGAGGGAAATGATCAAGTCAAATGATGTAGGATTGGAGTACTCGGCTATACTCACAAGAAGCCACCCACTGTCCGCATGACCAGGAAGCCCCAAAACTCCGGCATGAAGGCCGAGGTCAAGGAAGATATAATAGCGACGATACCCGTAATTCCGATGATCTTGCGTCTGCCGTACGAGTCCGATAACTGGCCCCATATGAAACAGGATATCATCTGGGCCGAGAAGTTTGCAGCCATTAACCAGGCCAACCGCCTGTCGTGTATATGCATTTCACAACTTGCCCCTGCGATTACTACTCCGAATCCCAGTTGCTCATTGGTCATCCAAAGCTGCAGTATAAAGCAGCAAAATAACATGATGAACTGCATCTTACCGAAACCTGTCAGAACAAAATGATCGGGTCACAGAAGCATCCGAGGGTGCGCAGCACTTACCCAGCTTGGTGAAAACCTCATCTATGTCACTCATCTTTGCTGCTGGCTATCAGCATTTCATTTCGCAAAAAAAGGCTTACAACTGGGTAATTTTGAATGTGCATGAAACATAAATACAGATTGCTAGACTATTTCCTACCGTTATGGTCCTCAAAAAAAGGTGGGACAAATAAAATGACGCTTACGATATGATCTTTATTCAAAAACTTCTCGTTATTGCAACACGGAACAATTTGGACGAGCATACAGCATTACACAATGTCCCTGGGTTGATAGAGTGCCAAAACGACGCAAACTGCGGAGAGTGAAGGTCTTATGAAATCGAACATTCGGCTTGGAGGACCCAGGCGTCACATACTTGCCAGACAGATGGTGAAAATGTTGAAGGTTACATCGCAGGTGACCCTTATGAAGAGCCCAACCATGGTGCTGCCCAAAACGCCACCAAATCGCGCCAGTGATCGAACCATACAGAGTGCCTTTCCGCGCAAATTGACGGGCAGGCAGTCGACTAGCACCGAGGTGGCCAGCGGGATCAGGACGCCAGGCAGCACCATCATGAGCACGAAAAAGATTAGCACGATGGTCGGCTGCTTCAAGATGTTTAGCGCTATGCCCAGGATAAATGAAATGAAGATGTGCAGCGCAATCACATACTTCCGGACCATGAAGTGCACCAATACGGAGGCCAGGATAAAACAACCAATGTAGGTTAACCCGTAGTAGACCGGATCGATCAGGTTGGTCATCTCGTCGTTACACTGTGCCGCCGAGTCCGCATCCTTGCGACTCATAAATGTTGGGTTATTATTGACGAGGTCGCATAAACGGTTCGAGCCCGAGTTGTCCATGTTGCGGATAACCGGAAACCAGATGCCCAGTCCAATGGACCTGCGTAGTTAGGCAAACTCGTTAATAATTCGCCACTGCGAAAATAAAAAACAAAGACGTGTGCACTTGATTTCACTTACGTGAAGAATATCCCAAAAATAAGCATGAGGCAGATAAAAAACTTGTAGACCTGAGGTTTGGTAAAGAGCAGCTTATACTCGTACCACACATTCTGCCAGAAGCCTCCCTGATCGACCACGTTTGATGTATCTACACTCAGAGTTATGTCAATGTCCTCCCACTTTTTCCTGTTCATTCGGCATATCCACTGAAGGGCCACGAGGGCCTTGTCCGGCCTATTGATGGACACAAGAAAATGCGGAGTCTCCGGCACCAGACAGATACCGACCAGGGCCAACCAGCCGGGAATCATGAATATCATCATCAGGAATCGCCAGGCCCGTAAATTCAAGGAGCTGCTGAGGTCCACATGCCAGTTGTAGGGCAGAATAGCCATGGCCACCAGTGGACAGTAGATCAGCGCTAGTCCCTGCGATTGGCTGCAAATGGCCACAGTAATTGGTCGCCACTTGACGGCGTGGAACTCCGCCAGGAATCCCACCTGCAAGGATGCAACCGCCGAGAGGCTGTAGGAGATATTGGGAGTTGCTAAGACATTGTACTCCATTTTGTTGTCCGTGCCACATACAAGGTTCCCACGACCACTCGTGCCACAGAAAGCGAATAGAGCTCCGGCATGAAAGCAGAGATCATCGAGAAGCACAGGGCTCCTACGAGTGCCAACCGGATAACGAACTTGCGGCCGTACCTGTCCGCCAGAAAGCCAATGAACAATCCGGAGGCTACCATCCCGCCCAGAAGGGAGTTGGCCAATAGGGTCTTCTCTTCGTGTGAGGTATCGAACTCGCAGGAGGTCAGCACCACGAGATAGCCAGCGGTCATGGACTCAGTTACGGAGTACATGTACACGAAAAAGCTCACCATGAAAATGATCACCTGACCAAACCCATAACCTGGTGAAAAGCGGCGGTTATCCTTTTTTTGCATATTTTTTTATATATTTTTAAATGTTCTTTTACCCATGGTTAACAGGGCAGTGTCCACGTCTACGGCGGGCATCTTAAGAATGCAGTAAACTATCTTTGCGAGATCAACGAGAAATTTCTAAAAACGCAATTAAAAACGACTCAATTTTCAAATCGTAAATGATTTAGATGTTGTTTAGCTGCATGCTTTGTTCAGTGTAGCATTTCCTTTTTCTTAACTTAGTCCTAGTCCTGCAAAACCTTTCATTCTAATCTGCCAACAGCCAGTGATGGGGAACTCTGATTGGAAATTGAAATGCTCAACGAGATCTTAAGTAATCTAATATTTCCTATACCATTAAATTCGATTTTTAAATTTTCGGTACTCTATGGAATATTTTAAAATATTATATTATATTAGACAGATTACTTAAAGCTGCATGTGACCCTTAATCAGGGCTCAAGTAACATATGTTTGTGGTCTTAACTGGTAGTTAGCCTTAGCCTCTTAGTAGATAGACATAGATTAATCGGTAGTTCCCATCACTGTCGGTATTACTTGATACATTGAGTTGAGTTGAAAAGCTGAAGAAGATTACGTGGGGGAATACTCTAACTTAAGATTTCCACCTGAACAGGTGCCAGTCGCGTTGGATTGCCGAGCGGGCCGAGTAGCCGCAAGAGTTCCGTCTTGGATTTGTCGCAGCAGCAGCAGCAGCAGTTGCAGCAGCTGCAGCAGTTGCAATTGCAGCAGCAGCAGTACCTGCAGCAGCAGCTGCCCATAGGAGTGGGCAATGCCGACACCAGTCCGCCGTCCGAAGACGAGGATAAGCGTTACAGGCCGCGCTGGAAGGGATCGGGCAGCCAGTTGCCGCCGCAGAGTCCCAAGCAGGCGCTCTCCCGGCTCAAGCAGGCCGCATCCGCGTCGAATGTGGCCCAGGACACGCAGCGACAGGGCCAACTGCTGGCCACCAATCCACTGCAGCAGCGCAAGAGCAGCATGTTCCAGCTGGACGAGTCCCAGGCATCGCCACCCCCAACCACCACCACCCACTTGCAGCGAAAGGGCAGCATGTACGTGGCCAAGGTCACCGAGACCCCGCCCCTCGGCACGCCCACCCGCAAGGGCAGCGTCTATCAGAGGGGCGGAGTGGGACTGGGCGTGCATAGTCCCGGAGCAGATAGCCCGCAGCGGAAGCAGAGCGTGGTCAAGACCCTCAGCGGCAGCTATGTCAACACATGCCCCCTCACGGCCAGCGAGTCCAGCTATGGCCTGAAGCTCGGGCCCTCGCAGATCCATCCCAAGGGTTACCGCCTGACCACCGCGCGGTACGGTGAGCTGAAGATGGGATTTCTGAAGATCAAGGGCAACGTGGAGGTGGAGGTAGGTGGCGTTACAGACCTAGGAGATGGAAAATATCCAGATTTAATGAAAATGAAAGATACCTGGCCTCTTTATTGTCCTCCCTTACTGCACCTCGTTTTCAGCTAATCTGCGCCCGTAACATCGTCAACGAGGACTGCGAGACTCCGCCGGATACGTACGTGAAGTGCTACATCAAGGACGGGGACCGCCTGCGCCACAAGAAGAAGACGCGCGTGGTGCGCCACGCGGCGGAGCCCCTCTACCGCCAGACCATTAAGTACCAGGTGAGCAAATGGCCCATTGTTGTAACGCCTGGCAGGTGACGATGATGATGATGCTGACGAGGAGCCAGCCCGCGTCCATTCTGATACTGACCACGGCCACGTCCGGATGTTATTACCTGCCGCCTGCATTGTAATGCGATTAATGGCCACTGGCCGCGCAGCATCGACGAGCCCAATTTCCGCGCCCGGCGGGTGGCTGGCAGGTGGCCCAGCCTTAACCCTCTGCATGCCCACGTCCTCGTTTTGCACCTGCTATGAGTAACTGGGTTCGTAGGTCCTATGAAAATCTGTTCATTCAAATAAATATGTTTTTGTACCCGGTACCAGGGTTTACTAGATTCGTTTAAAAATATGTAACAGATAGAAGGAATCGATTCCGATATATATTCTTGATCAAGATCACTAGCCAATTCGATCAGGCCATGTCCTTCTGTCCGTTTTTCTTCCAATTTCTATCGATTTGCCAGGATAATGTTGAAATTTCTCGCACTTTTACTAGCTGAGTAACGGGTATCTGATAATCGGTGAACTCGACCCTGTTAAGTTTAATTTCTAGTGAAGATGATATACTTTTCCAACGACATAACTAGAGTTGCGTGGGCGAGCAGAGGGTTAAGACCCTGTGGGTGGGCCATATTTTTAATGGAAGCCATGTAATTACCCAAACGAGTAACCCGTAACGATAACGAATCTCCATATAAACGCAGAGCTCGGACGTCTTTGGTCGCAACATCGTCATCATGGTGTGGCAGCGGTGCGTGGGCTTCGAGCACAACCAGGGACTGGGCGGCACGGAGGTGAACCTGGACAAGCTGAGCATTGGCCAGCCCATCAACGGATGGTACCCGCTCTTCCCGATGCACAGCTACGGAGGCTCCGACTCGGACAACTCTCCCTGACCGAACAACCCGGTAGTCGCAGTCCACATGCAGTGCCGGAGTCGCCTGGAGTCGGACGTAATCGGAGTGCCACTGCAAGCTCAATTTGTTAGCGCCTAAGTTATGGACACCATATACGCATACACTGTAACCCAAGATATCCTATCCCTATCCCTGTATGTATTAGTCATAGTTAAATGAGCTTAGCATTTTAGGCTGGCAGGTGGAATCGGGTCGGGTTATGTTACACTAAATACTTTATTCGTGGTGAGAGAGCTTTGTAAGTAGGGTACGCAGATAGGGCAGCAACAGGATGGGGAATCCGAGTACCCAAATCAGACAGCACAATAATTGAGGAATCGCAGTACCAGAGGCATATTTACTCGCGTTTATATATTTTAGCTTGTTGTGTTTGCGAAAGTTTAATGTTGTTCGCATTTGAATGGAAGTGGATATGTGGATATGTGGTATGAAAAATGGAAACGAAACGGGCACCAAAACAATAATGTCGAAACTTCGAGGCAACGAAGTGGGTGGGTCCTCCGCCCACAGAGAGGGATTTAAAGCTTGGTAGCTGACAAATGCATATTTATCCGAGTAAGTGTTAATTAAGTGTTTCGCAGAACAAAACCCAAAACCAAGTAGGCTAGCCCCAGCTATCTGTACAGCTGATAACCCCGGCAAGGTTTCAACTGCTCCGCGAACAACAAGTCCGAATATCTGGACAACTGAAGATCTCTACGCTGTATATCTGTGAATCTGAATCTGAAACTCTGCACATCTGAATGTCTAGTATTATCGCAAATTGGAGAAACAAACCAACGGAATCTAGTTTAAATCGACAATCTTTATGGGTGTGTGCTTGTGTGGGTGCGAGAATTGAGTGCGATTAAAGCGTGATTAAGACGAATTTACTGTAGTCATTTTATGGTAGGACATTGGTAGCAACACAACACGGCATGGTTGAAGATTAAAGACATCCCTTTCTCCTGTTCTTCAAACTCTCCCGACGCTTCAGCCACTCAAACAGGACAATCTCGTGTAGTGAAAAGTGAAAAATTTACATTTTCGGAACTTGTGTATAAATCTAATATCTAATCAGCGTTCAGCCTAGCGACTTGGAGTTTCAAACTAAGGTTACAAACACATTAGATTTATTTATACAACGCCTACACTTCAGTCTTACTACCTAGAGTACTTTAACTGCAAACAATTTGTGGAACTTTTACGGTCCTAACACTTTTACCTTCAGTCACGATGGCTCAAATGTCCTTAAGCTCTCTCTAATCGTGAAGGCAACTATATAGTACATGTATCTGTATCTGTATCTGTTCAAGGGCAGCCGCGGGCCTTCCTTATTGTTAGATGTTGCTTTAAAGACCCAAAGAGGAATACTTAGTATCAGATAATCCGTTGTTGTATCTTGTAAGTACTTGGTAGCTGTCAAGGTAGTCAGGGTAAAATATATATATATACTCGTATATATTCCTGTGTTTCTTCGGTTGGCTAATTACTATTCACAATCTGGCTGTTGTTTGATATACCTAGTTGGGTAACGAAAACTAAAATGGTTGTGCTATCTCAAAATTAAAACTACTTATTAATGTTCTGAATTCGGCACAGTAAGCTGTATCAACTACTCTTAGGTATTTTTGGTCTTTTCTACTTACTCTAATCTACGACTACTATTACTTATTGTACTTGGCCGGAGGTGATGGGTATCAAGTACTTTGAAATCTGTAAAAATAACACCATATCAGCGTGTAGCGTTGGGCTGGAATCTGGGGAGGATTGCGCTTCAAAAGTGCCGAGAGGGCTGTAGCAAGGCTTATAAGAATACAAATCCACTACTTGTTAAAGAATAACTTAGCCATTACCTGCGTACACTATGTAAAACAATATACAAAAATGTGAACTATATAAATATGAACGTACATATTAAATATATACTATTATGTTTAAAAAAACTGTAGAAAAACCAAAAGAGACCCACACTATATGTATATCAAATTGAGTTTCAATAAACATCAAATATTTATTTGAAGTTGTCTATTACTTTTGTAGTTTCGTTTATTACAATTCTAGGTTGGATATGACTAAATATTAGACAGCAAGGTTATGGTCCGCCTTTCGCAGATGAAAGCAAATGATTTAGAGCTACAGAATTGCTGGTGTTTTCAAACTCATATACACAGAACGAAAATATTGAGCTGCATTTAATCAGCTACCTAAAATACGTCAGTTGTAATTGTTAACAAGCATTAGAATTATGAACATCTACATTAATTAATTTCTAAATTTGGCAATGGTGCTGGAAGTGGAGTTCCCTGGCGGAGTTGCTCCTACGACAGCTCCCCCGTTGTTTAGCAAAGCCGTAAGTGTGGCATGCGAGGAGCTGAGCGTAGAACTGGCAGCCAGCTTGGCCTTCAACGGCGTTGTTGTGCTGCCCACCACCTGGCCCTGCAAACAAGGAGTGGGTGATGCCGCCGGAAGTTCCTTCAGCGCAGCTTCATCAGACGGTGGTGTGGTTGCCTGTTGTTGCTGCTGCTGCTGCTGAGATGAGACGCCCTGGAGCAGAGCGTTTCTTAAATGACTGTTGTTGGTATTCCCCGACTGCTGCTGGCTGGGCAAAATATAGGAGTTGGTTATAAGTCCGCGGCTCTTGATGTTTAGGTCCACGAAGAACAGCCGCATCTTGTGTATCATGGCATCGGTGACGCTGAAGGTGAGCATCATGCTGAGATCTATGTTGGTTTTATGCCGATACAGCTCGTGTGTTTGCTGCAGCCGGCACACTTCATCGTAGATGAGAAACAAGAACCGTGAGCTGCGATTCTCGGCGGGAATAATGCCACGGGTGGCTAGCCACTCCCTGTCCTCGCCATCCGGTAGGTAGCGTATCAATTCTGGATGCTTGCTGGCCAATCGTTCCTTACCGTCGGTGCCAAAACCAAACGCTAGGTTGGCCTGCACATCCAACACAAACTTGGTGGTAGTCGAGATCTGGGCGGTGTTCCAGAATATCTGCCGGCGCACAGGAGTGGGCAGAGTGCCACCCACCAATGGAGTAACCGAGGAGCGATGCTGCGGTTGCTGTTGGTTTTGCGTTTGTGTTTGTTCCTGTTGCTGCTGCTGCTGCAGGGGCTGAACTGTTTGCAACTCCGATTGAGGAAGCAGGAGAGGTTGAGCCGCAGGGTTTTGGTTCTGGGTTGGCAACTGGTTGGACGTAGTCGCCGTGCAGGGCATGGGTTTGTTTGGCACAAAACCCGCGTTTCCAGCAAACACTTTACTAATTGGGTTAGGATCCTGTTTAGCTGAGCGTTTAAGAGCCAAACGCTGCTGATCTGTGGCGTTAGCAACCAAACGATGCTGGCGCACAAAGTTCGTGTACTGAGCCTTGGCATTCTCCAACAAAGCACACGAGGACATCTTCTGAAGCGTTTCCTCATTAACAGAATGCTGGCCCAGGTTCTCCTTGATGTTGCCAAAAGCGGGTTTAAAGTAGTTCTGGATCAAGTTAAGAAACACGGATTAAGAATGGGCTGCATTGCCATGAAGACTTTTACCTACTTGCATATATTTTTTAATTAGCTCATTGACCTCCGCATCAAAGGCTTGCTGTACACTGATCCTCAAGAGTTCTAGGGCTCTCATGGCGGATTCTGCACTGCCACCACTCTCCATATTGTGGGAACCACCGAGTCGTTGCCGAATGCGTTGTAACATGTTCTCGGCCATATCTGTTGTGGTTACATATTTCTGTGGGAAAAATAAATATTAGCACTCGCTTGCACAGATAAATCGACTTCTTTCCTTACCTGCGAGGAATCCGCATCGGAGGATGTGGACTCGCCCAGCAGGGACAAGGTGATTGTGTTGCTTTCAGGTGCCACATCCTTCTCCGTCTGCTTTCTGACACCTTCAACTGGACTGGCCACCCGTGTGTCCATCGAATGTGTGGTTTGATTAGAGCAGTCGGAGTCATCTGAAGAGGAGTTTGCTGCCTGCAGCTGCATGCCCGGAGATGTACGCTGCTGCACCTCGTTCGCTGATGTCGTGCCGCTGTTTAAGGAACCGCCCACGTCAGTGGGTATTTTCCAACTTCGCTGAATGACCATGTTTGGTTATATATTTTTTAACAATTTCAATAAGTTTTGTTGCTGGTTGGGCTGGCCGCAATCTGGGTTTTCTGATTTTCCTGGGCGCGAGCTGAGGCTATTTGTCCAGGGCCGCGTTTTCAAAACGCCTGCGCAGAAAAGCCACCCCCCCACCGCTGCCCATTTGGCCTAGCAGCCATCAGCTGATGGCGGCTCCGCACAGTCCATGTCGAATTCACCTAGCTCCAGACGTCGCTGTTGATCCAGTACTCGCTTTAGGCTGTCATACTCGTCGCTCTCGACACCCTCATCCGCCTCCATGGTGTGTGGTTCCTGCTCCTGCTCGTTCACTTTCTTTTTCTGCTCCTTAAGAGTCTTTCGGTGCTCTGCCAGCTTTCGGTCAAACGTATCCATGTATTGCAAAGCATGGCTGGGTTGGTAGTCTTCGGGAGCCTTATAGCTCTTACTAACTGGCAAGCCCAGAACATCCTGCATCATAAATGGAAACAGCCAGCATACTAAGGGAGTTTCTCGGCACACATAACTAGCCTCTTTATGGTAAAATAGGAAGCCATCAAGCACTGGCTTGTTCTCCGGGAAAATGGGATACTTATGCAGAGCCTGCTCCACAGCAGAGGTGTCCTCGAAGTCGAAGTGATCCAGGAGCTTAAATTTCTTATCGTTATGCTCGCTAATCTTGGCATAATCATTCTCCTCGAATCGGGCGCGCAGCCAATAAAAGCGAAATGATGCCTCGCACTCCTGCAAGTGCTGTTGGCCAAATGATATGGCATCGAGCACATAGAAGGTGTCCGCATTCTCCTCGTACACGCAATCTAGTATTGTTTGGGCCTTTTGGTGCTGCCAGTCGCCGGGCAGCGAAGATCGGAAATCGATGAACATCCAGCCGCCTTTGGAGTACGCCTTGGTTATGCCCTTGCTTGCCACCACGAGGCACCTCTTGCCTACAGGACAAGGAACCAGTAGCCACTCACTGAGATTCTCGGGCTTATGGCGCAGCCACTCCGATAGTTGTGGTCTGTACGGGATGCCTTTTTGGTGACCAGAACGTTTCCCGCTTTTCTTCTTTGGCGGCGTTTTCTCGGACTTTTGCAGCGGACGGGAGTCATCCTGCTCCTGCTGCCGGCGCAGTTTCTGCTGCTTTAGAAGCTCCTTTTGGCGCTGCTTCTGCTGCTCACCCATATCCAGGCCCTTCTTATACAGCTCCTGAAAACTCGAGTCCATATTGAAAAGTTTATCAAAACAATGTGCCGGCTAGAATTCAGTGTGACCGCGTCATGACAGAAAAGGTAACCATACAGTTAAAAAAATAAAAACGTTCAAACACCATTTCAGCTATAGTAAAATGTGTATTTATAAAAATTTCTTTGCTTGCACTCTTTCGTTATTTGAAAAGTAGTTTCAGCGTGATTTATTGTTCTTTTTTAATTCTACTAGCGCAGATAACCAGTTACTCAAAAGCCTGAATCAATCATAGAGGACTTACCTAGCGCACTCCTTAATTTAATAATAATACGAACAACGCAGCCACTAAAAAGTAGAAAATAAAAACATAAAATTAATAAAATATCAAGTGCAACGGGTGTGCACTGTATGTATTTTCTCTCTTACACATATGCACTATTTTGATTACGCATTGCTGGTCACACTGGCAATTGGCATTGTTGTTTTGCACTAACTTCACCGGTCTTTTTATGGAAAAACAGCATTAGAACTCTGTAAATTAACAACAAAACATGAACAAGGCGTCCCGCATTTTCTGCCCAGCCCTGATCACACCCAAAAATGCGGTGGTTAAGCAAACGGAGCAACTGTCCCGCAGCCAAAAGGTAGAGTTCCGTTCCACCTTCCATGGTGTTACGAAAGAAGTAGTTAAAATTGAAATTATACAAATATTCCAGCTGCTGACAGAACTGGGATTGGTGAAATCGGGAAGCAATGGCACCTACCAGATAATGCCCATGGCCCAGCGATCGGTGGACAAGTTCATTGACCTGGTGCAGAGCAACATGCTACAGGCTGGTGGACAGAAGATCACCTTGCCCATCCTGACGCCCACAGGACTTTGGAGGAAGACGGGGCGACTGGAAGGCGACATATCCGAGTTCTACATGGTGCGGGATCGCAGCGGCAAGCAGTTCCTAATGAGTCCAGTGAGAGAGTGAGCAGATTTCTTCATTCCTCATTCAAATAAACACTTATTTCATTCATTAGACCCACGAGGAGGCAGTGACTGCCATGCTGGCCACCACCTCACCTATTTCCTATCGCCAATTGCCCTTGAGACTCTTCCAAATCGGTCCCAAGTTCAGGGATGAGCTTAAGACTCGTTTTGGCTTGATGCGAGCCAAGGAATTCCTGATGAAGGATATGTACTCCTTTGATGTCTGCGAGGAAACAGCCAGGGAAACGTACTCAGTAGTTAATGCTGCCTACGATAGGTTGTTCAAACAGCTGGAGGTTCCTTTTGTTAAGGGTAGGTATACTTTCCGTTCTGAAAACAAAACACAATATTAATGTACAATTCTTTACCAGTCAATGCTGCTACTGGCATGATGGGTGGCAGTGTATCACACGAGTATCATTACGTATCGCCCGTGGGCGAGGACAACCTGCTACAATGCAAGTCCTGCGGCTTTGCTGGCAACTCTGAGGTTGTAATGGCACCAGCCAACTGCCCGAGCTGTAGCAGCTCAGATTTGAAAGAAGTAAGAGGAGTTGAGGTGGCCCACACCTTCTTGTTGGGTGACAAGTACTCCAAACCCCTGGGCGCCACCTTTCTTAACACCAAAGGCAAGCCGCAATCGCTAGTCATGGGCTGCTATGGCATTGGAATCACTAGAGTTATTGCTGCTGCTCTGGAAGTACTCTCCTCCGACAACGAACTCCATTGGCCAAAGCTCCTAGCGCCTTACGATGTGTGTTTAATAGGACCCAAGCAAGGCAGCAAGGAGCAGCCGGAGGCGGAAGTGATAGAGAATGAACTTCTTCTGAATGTAGGAGAGATTTGCGGACACCAGGAGTTGCTGCATGATGATCGCAAGGAGCTTACTATCGGCAAACGTTTGCTGGAAGCAAAGCGTCTTGGACATCCGCTAACCATTGTGGTGGGAGCAAAGGCAATCCGTCAGGATTCTCCCAAGCTGGAAGTGCACACCAGCAAAGGAGAAACACTTGAGCTCGATTTAAGTGAAACTCTAAAACTGGTGGCAGAACATAGCCAGTATAAGAAAAGTCTAATACTGGGGTGTTTTCAGCCGGACAATGAAGAAAGTAAAAGACGATCAGTTGGCCATCAGCTTTAGCTTTATGCAATAAAGGTAACAATAACACACAACGTTTGACAACCGCACATCCAGATTGATTAAGCGCAAATCAACTCCGAGCAGCGTTCACCACTATGATGACTAGTGATCCGCATAGTCAGGTTCCGGAATCTGCGGGTAGATCTGTACTTGAAGTTGGGGCTTGCGTGGCGGCGGTGGTGGCTTAGTCACCATGCTTGTGTACGACCAAGGCATCTGGTTGCGCAGCTCTTCGCTAACGCGGGGATTTACTGGAGCAGGATATATCTCGCTGTAGCGATTGTTTAGTGGCGACGTCACCGCCAGTTGTTGCACAGCTGGCGAAGGAGCACGTGGAGTTGGTGGCTCCGAAGGCGGATAGTTGAGGTGATCGGGATGAGCCCCGGTGGTGCGATAGGTGTTAATGTCAGGCTGCGGAGACAACGCATCTCTCTGTTGGGGAACTTGTGGTGGTAGCACCATCACAGGGGACTGCAAAGTGGTGCGATCTCCGGCTACAAACTGCTGGGAGTTCGGACGCTGGGAACCCTGCTCCGAGGGAATGAAAATGGGCAGCGGCTTGGGACGGATCTGTTCCGGATATTGAGGGCTCTCTTGCGGTGCCGAAGGCTGAATAGATTCCACTACGGTGGCCTCCACCACCGGCTGGACTAAGGCCACCACAGGCTGTGGCGTTGGCTGTCGGGTGGGAGCCTGACTCCTGCTAACGGCGGCTGATTTCGCGTTCTGCTGCGCCATGATTCCGGACAACGAGAGACAGAAGGTGACTCCAATGATGTTCAGCAGCCAGATGATGGCCACGCGACTTGTAAGGCACAGTAGAAGAATCGATGGCGTCGAGAAGTATACGCCGAAGGGCTCCATAAGGGTCCAAATACTACCAACAGTATCACTATATGTGACTCCAATGTAATCAAGTGCATCTTTCATGGTCTAAAAAATGTAAGCATGATAATTTATGATGCGTAGAACATAGTTTACTGTACCGTTGTATGACTTAAGTCAATTCCATGATACACCGAGGCCACCACATCGAGGATACTGCCAGCTAACACGGATAGGAACCAGGGCCAGTAGATTGTTCCGGAGATCAGCTTGGTGGTGGGACTGCACAGCGTGGCTGCAGTGGATCTTCAGTTATTATAAAAACTAAATGGGTTTTTGGATAACTCACTTATTACCAACACCGAAGTAGCTACCCAAAGTCCGCTGACAACTGCGTAGGTTATCATGAAAATGAACTCCCGGTGGGTTATGGCATATGACTTCTCCCAATCAATGGCCAAAGGAACTTGTTCTTCTGATATTTTCAGCACCGGTTCACCACATTGCTCCTCTGTAGCGAAATTGTATGATACGTTGCAATAGCGTTCTGTGGAACCTCTGAAACAAACCCATACTCACGCGTAAAGTAAATAAGTTCCACAGCGTACTTGAAGGGATTTTCGCTGAAGTCAGTAACGCCATCCGGACACTCCCGAAAGGTGATGCCCCAGATGGACAAGCCCAAGTAAGCAGCTCCCTGGACCTGAAATGCATATTCATGAAATTACTGACTAGCACATTTGGAATGTTGAACAATCTTTATGGCACTCACGAGTATGACAATCGCCATGAAGAGTATGAAGCACTTGGAAAATCCAGTGCCCATGCCGGCCATCTTGATGGAGTGCTATTCCCTCGGCGAGGGATACTTGCTATTCCGGGTAATGGGTTGTGCAACCTGTGATCGCTGGGCCTGCCAATTGCCTACTCGATAAGACAACGCACGATTTGGGGCTATAAATTCAATTTGAAATTACAATTCGTCAATGCGAGGTCTATCTAATCAGCTTGATTAGTTTTCTGGTGGATTTTGCATATGGAATCAGGATAGCTCAATCATTCCTGGCCTTTTCCTTGCCTCTCTTGAGGACAACTGACTTATCTCTCGATTGGATGAATCACAGAAGGAAATTACGTTGTCGTCACTTCAATAAAGTATACGCAATGTTGGCCATTAACAACGGAAACACACTCACGCCAAATCACAAATTGTTATCTCACCGTTGGAATTGAATTCGCGGCTTTCTCGGAGGTGGAAAATGGAAGGCAAAACGCGTTCGCCAGCTGCCTCCTTTGGACTGAGCTCCGCCATCGAATGGACATCGACTCTGGGTCTCCAAATGCTTCGCTCTTCCAAAGCGATAAGATAAACCTAATGAATTTAAGGGTTACACCTGTTATCAAAAGCTTCAGAACGGATCGGTGACTACCCCAGATTGTGACCCACAGTTGCACAATAGCAGAGTGCAAATATCTTTCTCATTTTGTAATACAAATGGAGTGCGTTATCAACGAGCTTTTAGGTTTATCATTCGGAGAGCATAGACACATATATCAGAACACAAATATTGGCGAACCTGCCCCTATGTAGGTAAACAAATAAAGGTACAACACCTACCAGTTAGCAGGAACTAAATTTAAACTCACAGCTGATGGCGACAAGTCAGTCGACTTATCAAGTTGGACGCGCACGCTGCGTATACTTGATATTTGACACTCAGCTTATTGACTCGTGTACTTTATAAGTTGTAAGTGATTGAGTGGGTAACGGCGATTTCTTTATCGAAACTGATTCATAATACACCCGAAGAAGCACCTAAAATCTACAAGCACCAGTGATTGTTTTGATAAACCTTGTTTACTCTTGGAAAATTGTGGCAGTGGGAATTAAAGGCACCCAATAAAATTTATTCACACCTCGCAGTTCTATTGAGTTGCCATTTAAAAAATAAAGGGGTTCTGGAAATGGAAAACATTGCTGTAATTCATTGATTAATTCAAAGGAAATAGGTAAAAATGGTTTTTTATATGCTTTGGCTTTAAGAGTTTAATGACTTTGTCCATTTCGAAAGTTGTCAAACAAAAGGCAACAAATAATTTGCAAACATGTGATAAAAATAGGAAATAATATTCTTCTACAAAATAAATTCACACCCTTCAATTGTGCATTACTTATTTATGTATTTACAACCTCCGTCATAAAAAGGTTGCAAAATATTATCTATTCTAAGATAATTAACAATGTTTGTTTGATCATATAGGTCGTTGATTTGAAAAGTATTTGGCAATGTGCTTTCCTTAGGACTTTAACTTTATCAGCAAAAAAACAAAACCTCATTCCGCTTTCTCTACAATTTTTTAATCGAAGTGCAAACAATTGATTCGCAATATGTTGACTAATCATATTGGTCATCGGGTAATGAAGCTGATTAACACTCTGGGCCAAATATAAGCACATCGATTGAATAGTTGGGGCTCCAACAATTTGGCAATGTTTTATTAACCCAATTGCACTCCACCTTTGCAACTCGCTTGTGTGAGAACATGTACATATAGTATTATTTGCTTGGACACGAAATATTTGCATACGTTGTGAGGTTTTTCCCACCGGAGATTCTGGGAAGGTTTCGAATGAATCGTTCATGCCTGGTTGAACCGCTAGCTTCATTAGGGCCTGTGTTTGTCCGAGCAATTAGAGCCTCAAATTTGGCAGAGATCCCCAGGTAGACCTGGCCACCCAGTTCATCACTTCCCGCAACGTGTGAATTGGAAATGCAAATATAAAAGCTTCGGATCAGATCAAATCACATGACTTTAATTGAACTTGGCGTGTCATAAATATGCGAGTGGCGGGATGAGTTGGAGATGAGGTCTACAGCTATAGGGTTCAGAGGTCGACCGGCTTAAACGCGAGCCGAGAGGATGACGGGATCGGCCTCCACCTCGGCCACCTTCTCCTTTAGCTTCTCCTCGTCCTTCTTCAGCTTCTGGATGGGCTCCTCCGTGGTGCTGGAAGTGGAGCTGCTCACAATGGTCAAGATGGTGGTGGAGCTCTTGTCAGCCTCCTCCTTCTCGACGGCCTTTGTGGTCGTCTCCACCTTGCTGGTGGCTTCCTCAGTGTTGGTCGCGGATCCAGCAAGGGCCACCGCTTCCTCCACACTCTCAATTGGTGCCGTGGACGTAATCGATGTTTTGGTGATGCTAATCTTGGTCTGCTTGCCATCGCTGCTGTCGTTATTGGAATCCTCCTTGATGGTGGCCGAGATCAGCTTGGTGTGGTGCACCTGGAAGGTGGGAATCAGTGGCAGCGCACCACCATTGTGTGGCTGCACGGACACGTGATCGATTATCAAGTGGGCGGGCACACCATCCTCCCCATCGGGCACCTTCCTGGTGGTTTGCAGCAGAATCTTGCGAGCCAATCCGTCGTCCGCGGTCGAGACGGCTGAAGTGGCCGGCGTGGACTCATCGGATCGCTTGGTCAGCGCGTGCTCATCGTCCTCAGTGATCGCAGCCTGGGATTCAGGCTTCACCTCCTCCACCTCGCTGCCCGGGGCGCTGGCATGGTGCAGACTCAAGGCTGACTGGAACAGACTGTCCTCCAGATCGCCGATGAGGCCGTGGAACGAGATCTGCTTCAGCTCGGCATCGGGATTGGCCTCCACCTGCCGCTTCACCACTTCCTGTTTCTCCAACGGCTGTAAGCCCGTGAAGAGATCACCCAAATCGAAGGGGGCGGCCAACGAAGAAGCCGCCAGGGTCGCCAGCAACTAAAAGATAAGTAGAAAAAGTAGCACTGATAAAAATTCCACAAAACTATGACTGATAATAATATAATAGGATTCTCAATACGGGTTTATTTGATTTAAATTGAATTGAATTAATTCAACATATTTACGGTGGACGGGTGGGCATTTGGTGTAATCTTACTGATTACATTTATATCTAAAATTCCTTGGAAGATCTTCACTCACGGTGGTTAGCAAAGTGCACTTCATGGCCACTGCTACTGCTGATTTGGTCCGGGTGGTTGTGTTCAGCTCCAAGCTCAGATCGGAAATAAGTTTACGGCCCAGTGGCCGGTGAGTTTTTAAAGTTTTCTGGCGCCCGCCGAACGGCCGACTGAAAGTTGCGACTAAGCTTTATTATTATAACGTTCAGTTAGCACTTTAATCGCTTGGTTAGCCGAACTTGTTTTGGTGCCTGCGCGTGCTACTCCCTCGATGTTTGGGATGTAGGGACCAAACCAATTCTATTTGTGATTCGTACATGTTCTGTTTGTTGTCCAACTCCACTGATTCGACACTGTAGAAAAAAAATCGCTGGAAAATTCATTTTACCGCTCTGTAAGATCTTAAATGTAAGATATATGAATGTAGTTTTCAAATAAAAAGGTCATTGAGTTTTTAAAAGTATTTTTAAAAGTACATCGGCTCCTAAACCTTCTAACTACATACATAGTTATCATGTATTGGTCCAAATATAATTCCTATTGCAAATTAATGATAATATTTTGAGCCTTCACGATTTAAATTTTTCTCAATTAGTTTAAATATATTCCAAGGACTTACTTGATGTGACCCAGGAGTTTTAGAAAGACATATTAAATCCACGTTGATTGTCTTAATTGCGGCAATTAACATATATTTACTAAAATTAAATTTCCAAGAAGCCGATCAAAATAAAAACAAGCTCAGTCTGAAGACTTTTAAAGGCCAAAACAATCGGACAAAAAAAGAAAACGGCAAATTTGGGGATACGTATGTATCTTTGAGATACTTCTGCATCCCTGGGATAACTGCACTGTGTACCAATTACAATTACGCCTCTTTAACACTTCATAATTAGAGCGGTCGCCATGAGATCACCGGGGCACAAAGTTGATATGCGAAATGTGCAAATTAATTTCAAAATTTTCCGCTGAGACAAAGGTCCATGCTGAGGTGAAAACTTGTTAAAGAAACGCGCCTGGAAATTGATTTGCCTCCATATCGTAAAACCGCAATATATTAACTGTGCCTTCGATTCGCCGGAGAAAGACTGGCGGTCAAAAAAAAAAACGAGAATCCGGGCAATCATGAATGAAAGTCAAGATCTGGCTGGTTATGCCGGAGTATGGGCGGCTAAAGGCGGTTAACTCTAGTGTGGGTTAACTCCAATACTCGGCGGGTTATAAAAATCACAAATTTTTAATTTAATTATACATTTTTCAGACATTCGGCGGGGGATGTGCGGAATATCTCCACATCTGATCACTAATTCTGGACTTGAGTCAGAATTTCTTGGTCTTTAAAGTTCTGAAGTTGTGATGTCTACATTAAAGTGCCTCCACACATGCCAATTATTTTCTGATCTATCATTCTACTATTTAATAACGCATCAAAGGATTCAAGAATAGAGCCAAAGCTTTACGATATTTTGCTGCCACACAGGGCGTATGTGTAATATGAAGAGATTCAAATTAAAAGAGGCTTAGCATGTGACGGGTAACACCTTCACATTGCATATCAAATGCAAACGATTGTTAATATTCTGCGGTCGAAGCACAAGTCTACGTCAGACGGGGCGTATGCTTAATGTGAATTATCTTGGCAGACGGGCGCGTGTCCAGACCACATGCAATAAATGATCCCGCCAAATGCGTCACCGGAGGTGCAATGTCAATGGGCTTATTTTTGGCCACAGCCGAGGAGTAAACAACCGTGCGAGATTTGCGTAGGCAAGCCATGCCAATGGTCAATATTTGTGGGGGTCCGACTGGGGACAGTCCCTGGGACACGCTCCCGAAACGAGCACAATTAATTAGAGTCTGGGCCGCGCGAAAACAATCGCCAGTCCAGTCGAAACGGAAGCCAAGTCCGAGTCCGAATCCGCGCCTAGAAACCGGCGACCGAGACCCACGGAGAGTGGCAAACCTGTCGGGCAATTAACAGATGCCGATAATTACGCGGAATCGCGCCTCGCCAGCGGACCCGGCCGAAGCTCCAGCGGCGCTCCAGTCGCTATAAAAGCGCTCCGATCTGCACTAATTACCTTTAAACGCGCGAAAGTCAGGCAAGGCATCGGAGCCACTATCCCAGTGCGAGAAGCTACAGCAGGCAGTCAGTCTTCCCTTAGCCCCAAGCGCCTAAACCTTAAGATGCAGGTCCACCAGGCTGTGTTTGGAGCCGCCGTGCTCGGCATGCTGTTGGCCATCGGAGGCTCCCTGCCCGTTTTGGATGTCAGCTCGGGCATCGACAACGCCACCATCGAGGAGCTGAGGGCCAGCGTCAACGATACGCCCAAGAATCTGTAAGTCTAAAAAGATTCATAGTATTCCTAGAATATCTGAGAGTTCAAACTGTTATTGAGGTTTCAGCATATAATACTTTTAGATTAATACGAGTATGCTGGAAACTTGAAATAGATTTGATCGCACAACTCAATGTTAGTAATTAGTATAGTGTAGTATACTTGCTGGCAACAATGTTAGTACGCATATTAGTTTGTATTTATTGTGCTAATTGCAACATAGATCTCCGCTGTGTAGAAATAACCAAAATTAACTAATTGATAGATACTTTGTCACGTAGAAAGGCTTCTAACCGGTTTGCGTTTTCCTTTCAGCTATGTGGTCAAGGCGGTGGTTTATGAGATCGGCATCCTGACGGAGGTGGGCGAGAATGACACCAGCTTCGAGAGCCAGGAACGCGTGGATCTGACCTTCTACGACACGCACAGCAACAAGAGCCACATCGACCTGGGCAACATCCCACTGCCCATCCAGACGAACGTCACCGGTCAAGTGCTGACCGGCATCGCGCCCGTGAATCTGGGAGCCTTCAGCAGTCCCCAGGAACTGCTGGAAACCCTGCCCCTGACCGGAAGCATTGTGAACATCACGCACAGCGACACCGCCTTCTATCAGCTGAGCAGGTCGAACACCAGTGCCGCCGACAAGCCACAGATTCTGGATCAGGATGCGCTGGCCAAGCTCACGCATGCGGCCCAGTTGTTCCCACCATCGTCCCAAATTGGTCGATCAGTGCCAGTGAACCCAGCCGCCGATAACGAGGTGCCCCAGTCGGAACCCGAGGATTAGGCTTACTCCGCGGAATCTCATCGTGATGCAGTGCGTTGCTCTCCAAGCAATCTATAAATACGTATACTCTAGATCTACTTAGTTTTATGGCTTCACACTTAAGTACCTACAGTGCTAGAAAAGACTGGACGAGGACAAGAGATCAGCACAATTGCCTTGGTCTCATCACAAGGTTGGAATTTCACTTTTCTATTGTAAAGTAAAAATAAATTTCGCATTAGTGCTAGGTAAATGAGGCGTCTCTCTCTCTCCTTTCCAACTGGTGTTATCTGGTCAGCGGACGGTGCGAGGTGGTCATAGTCATGTGAGTGGCGAATGCTTAAAGCATTCCGATCACTTCTCACCTCTGACGCCGGCGGATGGTGGAGTGGCACCAAAAGTAAGAGGCCCGGCTGGAACCCCTTGGGGTGCAATGAAAATCTGCTGTGGTCGTAGCATTTTATATTAACTAGATTTTTAATTTTCTCATTTTCAGTTTGTTTGTTGTTGTTGTTGGTTGGTTGGTTGTGTGTGGTTTTGCATTATAACTGTATTACATGGGGGTCTTAGGTGGTAATAGATGATATATATTTTAATATTAATAGATAATGTGTAATATAAATATAAGTTTAAACTTGTACACAAAAATTAAAATGTCGAACGTCTCTCAGATCAGTTTAGAAGAGTCCTGCCTCCCACGCTTCGCTTCATGCAACTTCCTCTCTGCCTCATCGACTGTTCGTACAAATAAGCTAGAAGATTCGAGAGAAGAACGAAACGAAGCACGCTATCTGCGTGGGCGGGGACCTATTCAAAATGTATATACATACTGCAACACACATTTGGATACTCGTAGTTTTCGTATAAATAGTTTAGTTTTTAACTAATTTACATAGTCATCATGCTGACGATGCGCTCTGGCGGCTTCTTCATAATATGCTTTAAATATAGTTAAATATATATGTATGTATGTGGTATATTTTAGTAGTAGCTACAACTTCAACTTATGTGCACACTCCAAAACGTATGTAACTAAAATCCGTAACTAGTATCTCTAGTGAATCTATGCCGTTAGCGTTATGTGTATCGCGTATCCTGTAGCTGGTGTATTGGTGATTAAGCCGCAGCAAGTGCGGGCTACCCTAGTTTTGTCAGGGGTAACAGGTCAGGTTGTCAACGCGACGGCTTTCCACTTTGCTTTTCTTTCTCATCCGCTCCCATTTCTGTTTATTCTTCTGTTTGTTCTTTATACAATCCGACTTACAGAAGTAAAAGGGCGGGACCTTGGGGGTCGCCAAGGTCGCGTTCGGCTTAAAAACGAAACTAATGTTAAAGCGCTGTCAATGCTGCAAACGTTGCGAGATTAGGTTTTTGGTTGATCCAACATGCTCATTAATCTGCGAAGGCAAAATAAATTATTAATAGGGGAGGGTTTTTAAAAATTTCAAGAGAGATAATACTTTAATGCTTGAAAACTATTGTTTCTGTTTGATGCCAATATATGTGATATACAAACAAAATATTAATAAGGAACCTCTAAACATTTTCAAGCCATAAGTTAGAACTCTCTTAGAATCAATTATCCAATTCTACAGTCTCAGTCTAAATTATTAATCTGGAAAATCACGTACCTATGACATGACTCTCCATATTTGTGATGCGTGGCTTCGATGCGGGCTGTGGTATGATGGTGATCTCATCGTTTATCTTAAGCGGCTTCAGCAGAGAGTCATTGGCCGCTCCCAACGAACTGCGCGACATCCCTGCCCCAGATCCCGAACCGCTGGACTGCGCACTGTTCTTCTTGCTATCCATCGCCTTTCTGGCCACGGTACTGTGAGCGGTGTAAACGTGGGTCTCAAACTGTTTGTACATGCCGAAGGTCGCCGTGCAAACTGTGCACTTGTAGGACAGGTGAGCGGGCTTCAGGGTCATATGATGATCGCGCGACACGTGATTCAGCAGCTTCCATTGGTACATCTAAAGGGGAAGCAAGAATAGCGATATGTTATATATTGTTCTTCGGGCCTATCTATACGAAAAACTCACCCTTCCACAGACCGGACAGCGACCAGCATCCTTGCCCTTGTTGGCAGCCTCCTGCATGGAACTTGTGACCAAGCCATGAGAGCCCAGTAAGTGTCTCTCCAATCCTTGATCCGTAAAGAATCGGAACTGGCACTTTTGGCAATTCAAAGGCGGCCTATTGTAGATCATCTTGGGGTGAATCTGTTTCAAACAAAGCATTCATTAGCAAAGGGGAAAATCGGGAGAAATGGAAACTCAGCTCTACCTTCACTTTGTGCATCCACTGCATGTGGTTGCGTAGCTGCTCCAGATCCTTAATGTAGCCGTCGCAGATCTCGCAGATAACAAATTGAGCCTTGTTATTACCGCTGGGACTCTGACCAGGCTTCATTCCTGTAGCCGCTTGTGGTGCCTTGCTGGACGAGGCGCCCGCTCCGGCGCCCACCGAGCTCTGTCGAGGTAATGGCGTTATCGAGATGCTGGGCTGTCCGGCCATCGGCTTCTTGGACGCCTGTATAAATAGATAGATATTCGATTAAAACCGGTTTTAATGAGTAACTACGGAGTCTATTTTTGTACACCAACACATAAAAAGATTTTAACTCAAAGTACTTGAACAATACAAATACCCTGGTATTGTTTAATACCCTTTAATACCCTTTTAAACACCAATTCCAGCATTTAAATAATTGTTGAGCGTAAAAACGTAGCTTACCTGAACAAGCTGTCCGGCGGCCAGCTGATAGCTGTTGGGCAGCGAGAGTCCGGCATTCATCGCGTTGCCTCCGCGCACAGGCGCCGGATTTCGCACCATGTTCTGTTTGGGTGGCTGCGGGGCTCGCTGACGCATCTTGGCCGCGTTCTGGGCGGCTAACGCGGCTGCCTGGAGGTTATTCCTCGCCTGCGCCGCCGCTTGCTGCTGCTGGATGTTGGCCAGAGCGGCCTTTTGTGCGGCCGCCTGTGCAGCCATGGCCTGGAAGAGATTAAACCGATTGTGAACAGATTGCCAAAGACTTAGCTGTTGATATTCATACCTGATAGGCGGTGGCAGTGCCCACAAGACCATGACGTGGCTTGATGCGCGGTATCTTGGCCGGTGCCTCCCAGTCGTTTGGCGGCGCCAGATTTAGCTCCGGCCGGAACTTCTTAGCGCAAACAGGCTGATGTCGGGCCAGTTTTGCCTTTCCATTATCCTCAAAGCCGCAGTTGGGACACTGGTGGTAAGGCAGTGGTTTTATTAGACGAGCCTTTATGTTGTGCACCGCCTCCATGTGGTAAACAATCTCCGTGGCGTTTCGTATCTCAAACGTGCAGAAGTTACACTTGTATAGCACTCCATTCATGTGCGGCGTCTCGTAATGATTAGCCATCGCCATGGCAGACTCGGACTTAAAGTTGCAGAATTCGCATCGCTTCATCCGGAACTTGAAGGGCGCGTTTTTCGTCTTGGATGCCTGCAGGTTGCCAGACAGCGCATTGATGGCCATCTCAAACTCCTTGGAATTTTGCACCTGCGCCTTGCGCATCTTGCGCTTCTGCAGACGCAGCAGATCGGACTGAACGTACTCCTGCACCAAACCCACTCCAATGTCCATAAAGAACTTGCCCAACGGACTCTCAAAGTAGTTCTCCTGTCCTGGCTTGTTGCCGCCCGGATTGTTTAGCGACGCTCCGCCCGCTGTTGCCAAGGCGGCAGCAGGCTTGATGGCCACCTTTAAGGCGCTCAGGTCGTCGTTTGCCTCCTTGATCAGAACCTTAGTCCGCACTCCTGACTCCGAGTCGTCGTCGTCGTCTTCGTCATCATCATCGTCAGACTGCTCCGACCAGGACTCGTCGTCACCTCGCTTTTTCTTTTTCTTTTTGCCGCTCGCGTCGCCCGGTTCCGCTGGCTTATCTTCTTTGTTTTGCTCGGTCATCATGTCGAACTCATCGCCCTTGTCTGCCTCGGCCAAATCCTCAGGAGACAGCGCATACTTTGTCTCAATTGCCTTCACGACCTCGCAGATATTTTCTGGCGGTGGCTTTTCATAGATGTAGGGTACAATGAAGGAGGGCGCTTCCAAAACGAACATGTCGTCGGTGAGTCCGGGCAGCAGGTTGGCATTGTTGGTCATACTGGGAAGCCCCGTTAGCGATAAAGTTGGCGGATTCAGCTGCACTGGACTGGCGCTCAGGCCGCCCGCCATGGGAACTAGCTTGGGCGGCACTATACCCAGATTGGTGGCCGCACCCGTTACAGCATTCGTTATGGTCACAGGGTAGACAGAATCTCGAGGACCCGACACAGAGCTCGGACTGCCATCGAGAGGCATCAACGAGCGGGCATCCTTTATGGTCAGCTGGCCCATTCCTGAGGGCGTCGAACTACGCTGTCTCTTGTTATGGGGCTGTTGAAGCTGCAGGTCATCCAGGTCGCTCTTGCGCTTGCCGCTGGGCGAAATACTTGGCGGTGTGTCATCTTCAATCACGACGCAGTCGTCGTCGTCGTCATCGTCCTCATCATCCTGCACGGGCGGTGGCGGAGTGGCCTTGACAACTGGCGGGAGCTTCTTTACTGGCGTCGGTGGAGCTGGAGACTCCGTATCCGAATCGGAGGCTATCAGAACAGCATCGTCGGAGGATTCGCCGCCACTGGAGGAAGCCGGTTTGACTGCCTGTTCGATGGGCTTGGCCGGCTCCTTGTGCTCTGTTATATCCTCCATTTCCTCGTCGCTGTCCTCGTCCAGGTTGACCACACCACCATCGGAGGGAGCTATTGCCGCCCTGGCCTCTGCTATGCTGGCTTGGCCGTTCTCCTTCTGCTTGGGACTGGCCCCAATACCATTCTCCTGCTTTGCTGGTGGTTCTTCCTCGACGACCCCTTCGCTGGCCACGCTCTCTTCGCCATCTAGATTCGGTTTATTCGCGCTAACCAGTTCATCCTCCTGAGCTGTGACTGCTCCTAGGGGATCTTCGGCCTCGCAGCTGTTTTCCGCTGTGCTACCGATCTTCTCGGGTTCGTCTTCGTCCTCTGGCTCGTGATCCCCATCTCCATTTGTGGTAGCCTCCTCCTCTTCCTTTTCCTCATCCAGATTGGGCTCTTTCGAGCTGCTGCTTGTAATCTGGTAATCGTCGTCGTTCCACACTTCGTTTTCATCCACGTCGTCGGTCCCGTCCACCTCCATTATCTCGTCGGGCACTGGAGCTTGTGGAGATGCCTGTGCCACATCCTCTTTAATGATGTCCTTGTCGCCCGCGGAAAGCAGCTCAAGCTTTTCATTGGAGGGTGCCTCCGTCAGGTGTTCCACCTCTTCCTCCTGCTGCTCCTCGACCACCTGATCCTCCTCCTCCACAGTTGTGACCCGCTGCTCATCATCATCTGCTGATGGTTTACTCTGTTTTGGGGAACTTGATGCGCTGGCAAGCTTTGTCGTGGGCTCGGCCACGCCCTCCGGCAAAACGACATCGACTTCAGTCATTTGAGGTCCGTTCTCTGCTCCGTGGAATGTGCCCAAGTCGGTGTTTCTTCCAGCTGTTTGTGTTTCTGCAAGAGACGCAATGAAATTGAAGAATTATCAAAACTCATTTGGGAATTCAAATTTTTACTTAATTTTACTTAATGACTGCTTCTTCTTTAGACCAACCGGAAAAATTGGCACGTAAAAGAAAACTAAAGTATCAAAAAGCAACGAATGAGCAGCACAAAGCGCAGCAGACGAAGAGTAAAAATAAAAAGAGCTAAAACTGCAGAAAGAGGAGGGCGAAGGGGCGAAACGGGGCGAAAAATTAACAATCACCGAAAAATATTTGAAAATCTAGGTGAATTTAAAAGGTGAACTCAAGAAAAGGCGGACCGAAAACAGGGCAACATCGGCAGGGGAAGGGAAGCGGGGGGAGTTGAAAGAATGGTTTGATACAAAATGGCTGCCATATTGGATTAAAACTAAAATACAATTTAATATGTAATGTAAGTATGTAAATGGCTTTACACTGCGAGAAAAAGCACAAATGCAGGACGGGGGGAGTTATGGTTTGCCGATACTTGTAATTTATATACTTTGGCATTAACACACTTGCCTCTAAATATATATAAAACATATATTTATATATGTTTATGTGAAATGTTTGTATGTACAAACGAACAGTTACCGAGCAGAGCCAACAAAACGATTGACATACATACAGACACAAACGCACACACCGCCTGCACACATATATACAATCTATATATACGGCACATATATATTTTTGTATGCTTGTAAGCACAGGGGGACGGACGCAGGGCGGGGGGCGGCACGGATGACGACGTTTGGCTTTAGCTTTATTTGTTGTAGTTGTTTTTGTTGCTCGGCTGGCGGCGTGGTGGAGTATACTACCGCTGTTGTTGCTGTTGTTGTACTTTTTGGTACAGGAGCGTGTTTTTGCGCTAGTGTTTGTCCCTGTGTGCGTGTGTGTGCGGCGCTTGCTTGCGTATGTGTGTGTGTTTTTTCTGCTGCTATGTTGGATCTCACCTTACTTTTAAATATTCTAGGTTTCTTTCAAACTAAAAACATTTTTCAGCCGCATTTAGTATTGTTTTTTCTCTTTGCCGCACTTACATTCACATTTTCCCCTTACAATCGGCAGGTTGTTGTTTTGTTTCGCCTCCCTTTTGGTCCCTTGATCACAATAAACAAAAAACTGAACTGTCAACAAATGAAAGATCGTTTTCTTTGCGAAATAACCAGGGAAAATCCGAAAATTTTTGCGTGGGGTTTTTTTTAATTGGAGAAAAAAAACTGAGTGGAAAGAACGCCGAAGGCGGAGACACAAGAGACGAGCGAACGAACAAGCAGGCAAGGCAAACTGGAAATGTGTGAGGCGGAAAAAGCAAAAACAGAGTTGCAACGAACAGCCGGGCGCGCGCAGGGTTGCACATCTTATCGGTTATCGATTGTCAGGCATCGATAGCTGGTTATCTAAAGGTGCCAATCACTGATTTTGCAATTAATTTTGAATTCAATTCATATTTTTGCTTATTTCTCTTCTCAATTAACGGTACTAGCTGCTTTCACATTGCCGGCTAGGGAGAGAGCTCTCTCTCTCTCTCATTCGAACGCCTCTCAAAAATAGCGAATAAGCGTGTGAAGCGCATGGCCCGCACACATGGGCCTTTGTGCCTGCGTGTGTGTGTGCATGAATGGAATGGCGTGGAATGGGAGGGAAAACAAATTTGACAATTGTACGCGCGCCACGAACGAAATGAACAAAACAAAACTGAAACGGCATTGCTTGTCGCCGGTCTTACTTTGATGGATTTATGCGAATCGGCATGTGCAGAAATTCAAACAGAGCGCGCGAACAAATCTAGATGGTTTTAAATATCGCAGGTAAATATGGCAAATTGCAACTCCCCCGCCGCCGCACCCCTCTCACCATCACACTCACACACACCCATACTAGCACACACACTAGCGTCTTAAACTGTATACTCATCACGATACTTTTGCTGATGCTTCTTCTTTCTCCTCCAACTTATTTCAGATTACGCTGTCCCTCTCTTTCGCACCCACGGCCCCGGGGTATATACAATCGTACATACGTATCTATATGTATACATACAACTAAATATGTATGTCCGTATGTAAGTTGCCCTATGCATGTGTGCGTATGTGTGTGTGTGTCTGTACGATTTGGTCTATATGCAAGTACGAAATTTGAAAGTAACCCGCTTCTGGCGCATTTTCCATCCCCGTCCCCTGTCCGCCGCCCGCCCCCTTCCCCGTGATCATCAACTTGGTAAAGGTCGAAGGGCTTGCGGAGCAAGGAGCAGGCCACCTAACCAATCGCCATCATCATTAAAGACCCCGAACTCAAACCCAAACCCCAACTATCGCCGCACTTTATGTTATACATACACGTGACCCTTTTCGATATCTAGTAAATTAGCCAATTCATATTTTCCAGTGCAAAGTTACAAAGTGAAGCGGAAATTACTGAGGCAGGTGGGTCTTACAATCTCAAAATTTCAGTCTATTAGATCAAAAGTTTAGATACAAGATGCACATTTAATAGATTGATCGCAGTCCTCGAATGTATTTAAAAGGATTATTATTAATTATTAATTACTTTTCGAGTAATCAGATGATTGAACTAAAAGAAATTAGATTCAGCTTCGAAACATCGATTCAAAAGTCCCAATTTGAGACTTCGATCAAGATTAAAGATCCTTTTGTATCAACAACTTCTCTTGACTAAAGAAATTAAAAATTGTATCTATTTGTTTGGGCATTACTTATAAAACCAATTGCAAATTTTAAGCAAATATATACATTCATATATAAATTCACATATAACTGATAAAAATAAAGATAATTTAAAAAAATATCATTACAAATATAAGAATATGAGTCACTATGTTATTAAAACTTGAATGATTCACGTAAAGTACATTCTTGAAAAATAATGAAAATAATTAGTAAGTTAATTATTTAAACGTGCATCACTTTTTAGAAAACATAAATCGACAATCAATTTAGGAATGCTTGAGAAACAAATCATATTTTATGTTGTAGGTACTTAAAGGACAATTGAAATAATGAAGTTTTTAAAACCATGATGATCTAATCTCAATGATTCATTTCATAATATCATCAAATCAGTAATACATGCATACATATGTATATGCAATGCAAATCTCAAATATATACTATATCATCCAGTTTAAACGTGAGTAATGTTGTATACAGTTTGGTTATTTAATTAAAAATCTACAATCTGACAGCGTCATTTCGTGTTGGGCTCTGATATACAAAGCCCAATATTACCCCAAAAAATTCACATGGCAACAAAGTAACTCGAAGCTTAACTTAACAATCGTTTACGGTTTTTGACCTGAATTCCTCACCTTAATCATTCGCTGCAGGTTAACTTTGTTGGTGCAAGTTGTAGCCAGATAGCAAAGAAGTGATCTTCAATCCTCGGACGGCTCGTCCTCCTCGTCCTCGTTGAAGGACAGCTTACTACTGGCGGCCTTGGATTTTTTGGTCTTGGACGTGCCGGATTTATCGGACTTCCTGTTGACTCCGGATTGTGACTTATGTTCCTCGATGTTGGGCTGCTTGACACGCTGCTTAAAGACTATTGGCTGTGTCAGATCCGCACGCTTTTCGGCTAATTCTGAAGAAGATTGGAAAAGGGAATTAGTTGTGCTCAGAAATCCTCAGTACTTATTATGATCGTAGTTTAGGTAATATTCTTATAAGGACCTATTTACAGTTTAAACGGAGTAATGCAGTTATGCCATCAATACAATGATAAGAATGAAGAGCATTAGGCCTAAACAGGTTCATTTTGGGGAAAGTAGTATGCATAGAATCTATGTATATCCGTTAAAACAATTTCAACTTGGCTTATAAAATGGCATCAACTAATAAGAATACCATAAGGTACTTGAAAAATTATCTGATTATCTGCATGAGCTCAACTGGAAATCGAAAGGTGAATAGAATGCCGGTGCCTGCAGTTCGTTATTGGATTGGAAAATGTATCTGGGTTTTAAAAACTGCAGCATGACAAAGAGGGGCAAATCAGAACAGGCCACCCACCGCCCCCCATCGTCCCGCTTTGCTCCACCCCTTTTCCAAGCAGCACCCACAAGATGTTTTTCTCGGCCCTGGGAGCCCGCCCCTCCCCCTCTGATCCACCCACTGATTCGCAACCCGCCCCCGCTGTTCCACCAGCCCTTTCCTCGCCTTCCCCTCCGCCGCCTTCACCACGTCGTCAAGCCACTTTGGCCCGCTCTTTTTCTCTTTGCTCGCCTGCTTCGTTCATCATTGCCTCTCCGCTTTGGCCGCCTCCTTCATCCGTTCGTTCTTCCACACGTTGTTTTCACCCGATTTTCTGCGCTCTTCCAAGGGGGCGGAGGGGGGCAAGCGGAAGGGGCGGACAAAGCGAGCGGCAGCTGCTGTTGTTAACTTCTTTGCCGGCTGCTTTATCGCCCCGCCCGCTTTGCCAACGATTTTCATCACATGCTCTGCTTTGGCGGAGCCCCCAATGAAAATGTCAGTGTGTATGCCTCGTCGGCTAGCTAGTGCGGGTGTGTGTGTGTCTGTGTGAGGGGTGCTCCGCTGGGCAAAAAAGGGAATCTTCAGGACGGAAGTGCCCAAAATTGCCATGCCAACATGGGGCTTTAAAAGGAAGAACCAAAGGTTCTATGGAAAAAAAAACACCTACTTCTTGCAACAAACGGCTCTTTTTGCACTACCGTTATATTTTCATTGGCAAAAATGCACAAGCACACGCGCGCACACATGCATAAGCAACGCTATATACGCACGTACATATATATGATTTAGATATATGTAACGCCGGGCAGAAGAAGACAACCGCTCGATTCTGACTGAAAAGTTAAACTGAAAGACAAACTACAACATCCTACCTACGCACACACGTGCAACTGCCGCCGCCACCGTTGGCTATGTGCATGTGTGTGTGTGTTTGTGTGCGAGCGTGTAAGTATGTATGTACTACAGCGTATGTATGTTTGTATGTATGTACAAATGAACCGACCTTTGGAGGCCAACAGTTTCTCCGTTTTGGCCTCTTCGGCGGATAGATCTCCCGGCCTAAGGACGACCACCTGCGGCTGTTCGTCCTCCCGTGAATCCTCCTCAGAATCGTAGTCCTCCTGATCCTGCGGATCCAATCGCTGGCGCTATCCAATGGGGTTTTATGTACATGTATCTGCATTAGAATGCTGCAGAGACCTTCTTCGAAAAACTCACCTTGGTCTCTACGGTGGGTCCCTCCTTGTAGCCAATTTCGGCCTTTAACTTGGCCAGAAAACTCGGTTCTTGCGGCTTGACGTACGTTATGTTGCGCTTGGACATATCAAATATAGCGGCTATATCATCGCACTGTTCGGCCGATTTAGCAGCGGTTTTTGCACTTTTTATTTACCACAAATGTCGATAAGAAAAACATATGCTTATCGAGCAGTGCTGGGAAGCGCGCGTTTACAATACTTCAACGATTAAGCGTGCTGTACTCTTCAATAATGTAACACATTTATAAATCGAGTAGTTATAGTTATAATGTTTAAGTTTACGCTTGCTTTTTTAATACTTTTAGTGTCACTTTTTCGAGTCCTTGTTATTCATCGATAACACTCATTTATAACAGCTGTACTGGCGTGTGCAAGTGCTGCCCATAAAAATGGTAGCAGGGCAGCACTGTTAGGCAACAGCCGTTACTTTTTGAAAATGTTTGAAACTAGTCAGGAGTTAATATTTCTTAAATTTTCGGCAAGTATTGAATATTTTTCTTCTTTGTTTTGATCCATTTATTCAAATACATATATTTCGCCTTACCAACTGGCAGAAAAGCTATTGCCCCGAGACGTGCAATCAATTTGCGAATAGATATGCATCCTCCTCTCTTGCCAATCAAAAAACGGGCGCATAAAACTGTCGCATAACTTGCAAATTTTCCGCTTCACCTGGAATTCTGTGCTCCGAAACAGAAATTTGATCGCTTCTGACAGCAAAACAATACACAGCGGCATTCATCAACGTCAGTGGCTTCCATTTGCGATGTCGTATGCACAGCTTCCTCCTCTATTGAAACCCCCTCTTCCAGGGAACATAATAAATCATCTGCAAATTGATTTCAAAACTTCGACAGCTAACCAAAAAGTGCTGCCGAAAAATAAAAGGCAAATGAAAACTGCAGCGAAACGGAGAATTTTATGAGCTGCAGCATATGTCGGCAAAAATACAAATAGGGCACACTGAGAAAAACTTAACTGAGCTAAAGGTATGAACTTTAGCTCAGTTAAGTTTTAAATTTTAGAAAATATAGGTACTTGAGCTTATATATTTGCAAAATCAAAAAACAGCAAATAATATACTTCATTTTTTGTTCATAAACTATATTTCTAATTAAGAAATGTAACAAAATATTGGTCTGTTGAAACTAAGGCCACAAATAAATACTTCATATTTTTGGTTTCTCCGTGGAGGAATCCCCCTGAAAAACTCCGATTCCTGCATTCTGGCACGCGGCTGCAGCTTTTCCCCGAAGGGTTTTCGCCGGTCCCCGAGCTAATATCAAATTGATAGCTTTTAAATTTGATTTCGCGTCTTATCACCGACCGCTTAAGCGAGCAGTTTGGGATCTGCAGCCCCCAATCACTACGCAATCCCCACTGCCCCCATCGCCCCCACACACCGCGATGGTTGGAAAAACAAATGGAGTGTGCCGGGTGGAGGGACCACCCCCTCATGCATTAAAAATGAGGATGGCAGGGCATTTGATGCTGTGCAAGTGCAACGTGGCGTATGCTTGTTGTGTTTTGTTTTGCTCGCTTTGCGTCCGCATTGAAAATACATTGAAAATGCCGGTGCAACACAAGTGTTTCGGCCTTGATACGATGTGCTGCGATATATATACGCTATGAGCTGTATAAGCTATACGCTGGATATAGAGTCATCCATCCGACCGTCCCATTCAGAATCCATAGGCTTTCAGTCACATGCTGGCCAACTAATATCGAGCACTCTTGAGAAGCCAGAGCCTCAGGAAAATGTTATCACAGTCTGCATCCGGCACGGAGTCCTCCGCCTCTGCCGAAGTGCAACTCGGCGACTCGGTTCAAATTCCGCTTTTCAGTCTCTGCTCCTCGGCGCTCAGATGCTAGTCGGCATTTGGCGCGTGCAGTTCAGTTCACTCGGTTGAAAATTCGCCGGACTCGCTCAAAAGCGAAATATCGTTCTAAAATTAAACAATTCGCGGGGGCACTGAGAGAAAACTGTCGCTCGAATCGTTAGTAGTTCGCTACTTTTGCATTGCAAAAAAGATGGGAGCTCAATTATAAGACTTTGTGGCACTGAAGTAGAAGAGTGTATTTCTAAATATTTAAGTGAACAACTGAATTGGAAGAATATATTTCTAAATATTTAAATGACGAACTGAGTTCGAGGAAAATATTTCTAAATATTTAAATGACCAACTGAGTTCGAAGAAAATATTTCCAAATATTTAAGTGACCAACTGAATTGGAAGAATATATTTCTAAATGTTTAATGCCTAACTGAAATAGAGGAAAATATTTCTAGATCTTTAAATGACCAAATGAAATAGAAGAAATTATTTCTAAATGTTTAAATGCCTTTCAGAAATAGAAGAAAATATTTCTAAATGTTTAATGCCTAACTAAAATAGAAGAAAATATTTCTAAATGTTTAAATGCCTAACTTATAGAAATACAAATATTTCTAAATATTTAAATGCCTGAAACGTAGCACTGGGAACCACATAAGTACATTTAAAAAACCAAAATAAAATTGAACTAAATGTATTATTTTAAGTATTCCCTGGATTAAGACATGCTTAAACAATATTAACAAACGTGATCTTATAAATATTATACGTTTTTAGCACATTATAGACACACATCTATTTAGGGTTTTCCAAAATTGTTAATTGCGTGTTTTGACTATTTTTTCGTATGCTATTTGCGGGAATATGAAAGGTTATCAATCACTAACCCCTCAAATTCATGTTTTTCCACAAGGGCACATATGACTGCTTAGGATACCAAATGATATCTCTTGGATTTCTCTTTGTGCAGCTGCGTGTGCTTTTGGGCGATATGTGAGCAGCACTGCCACTGTGTTGTAGGGACCACATTTGGTGATAAGCGCCGTCCAACGGCCCAGTGATAAGCGGTTCGAACTTCCGCCCCTCGCAGGCGATTGTTGTCTGGAGTCGAGTTGCTTGAACAGTTCTTGGATTAACAACCGGTTGGTGAGAAGTGCGTGAAACTAGTTTGCCCTCGAAATGCGAGTTCCGCTGCTGCTGCTGCAGCTGCTGGGGCTGCTCCTCCTCTCCGGCGGAGTCCAGTCCACCTACTGCCCAGCCGGATGCACCTGCTTGCAGCGAACTGTGCGCTGCATCCGCGCCAAGCTGACCGCCGTGCCCAAGCTGCCCCAGGATGCCCAAACGGTGTAAGTACTCAATGGACCTAAGATCCTCGCTATTTATTTCAATTCACTCGTATATATGTCGGGCTTAAAAACTCAACAATGTATATGGATTCGTTCAATAATTAAATAACTAAAAAAATCAAGCAATTGGAAGAACTTTTATGGCGCACCTTGATTTTCCTAAGTTCCTTAAGTTCAAAATGCACTTTTTATGCTTTTAATATTCTTGTCCAAGTTTGGCTTCCAGTTTCCTTTCGTCGAGTGTACATAAATCAACGCGGGAGTTGGCTTGCAAATCCATAAATTAGTTTTTAATGTTTTCTGTGCACGCTGCGAAAAGTTGACGGCGTTAATTTGACGCCCCTTTTTCTGCTCCTCCTTCCGTGGAGGAGTCCTCCTCCTACGACTGCTGCTCCTCCTCCTCCTCCCAGGGAGCCCCCTGCTCCTGCGGAATCCATGAATGTTCCGCCAAGCTGCGCTATGTTGACTCAATTAAACGGATGTCTAACCGGCAAAAGCTGACTGCGATTTGTATATTTATCACGCTGCCTGTCGCGTATTTGCATGCATGTGCAATATTTCTGACGTTGCATTTATTTTCGAAAATGTCAGCAGTTTTCGCATGAATTTTGGGCACCACAACCATTCCGCATCCAACGCATACAACTTGGCAAATGTTTGCGAAGCATATGCATATTTATGTAGGCCGTGGCGTGTTTCAAGCCGGAGGAACAACCTCGCAACCCGGCAGAATGCACCAGCTGCTGCAGCCGATGGCAAGTTATCATCAGACAGAAAAACAGTCTCCACTGGGGGACAACAAGATATCCGGACAGACGGAGCACGGTTTTCGTGGTATTTACGGAGAATTCAATTTCCAGCGGGGTTGAGCCGCGTTTGATGGCAGGGATTCGCTGATTCTCCGCCAAGGATTTCCACAACACGCCAGTCAGGTGCAAATGCCATCCTGGTCCTGGGAATAGGTGAAGCCACTCAGTTCACGTGTCAACGAATGCGAAAGCCCTGAACAAATCGATTATATGGTGCTTTAAAAACTATAAAGTGCTCTCGACTGGGGAGCATTATTCGCTGATTCGCTATTCGCCGTTTCTGAAGCACTTTCATGTTTAATCTGATACATTTTAAGTTTGGAAAGAGCGATCATAGAGAATTATTTGATAATTCAACGTTCCTGAGGTGGAAAAAGGAGATTTAAATTGCTTGATTAAATTATGCGGCCCGAAAGAAAATGTTTCATTTTTAAAACTCCTGACAGGTGGATAAATTCCACCTGTCCGTTGAATGGGTGAAACCAATTACTGCAGCTGTCATCGAATTTGGGGTCCCCAAATATGAGGATTTATTATTTCATTTATCGTAGTGGACTGGGGCTTAGCTGGTCGCCATTGAAAGAGATTGTTCATTTGGCATTTTAAAGACTGCATCTGCATTTAAATAAATATTTCATTTCGTTAAGTAGCGTCGAACAAAACGAAATAAATAGGTGGTATTAGATTATGAATTTAAGCCCGCTCGACAGGTGACAAAAGCATGAATGGTTGGCAAAAACAAAATTCTAAAACTGAAAAATAACATGAAGCCAAAAACTTTTCTGACCACAGCAGAATTAATAATTGAGTTAACCAACATATCAGGCCAAAGCAAAACTATGTGCAACCAACAACAATGCCTTTCATATTTAAATATTCTATTGTACAATCCACTCCGCCATCGAATCCACAGCCATTTGGCAATCTCACCAGGAGGATCACATTCTTTGCCATTTGCCATTTGTTTGGCTCGCCGCACAACAATTTCTCAAATGGGAGAAAGCTGTGGAAAACTGTTAGTGGGAGCCAACAGCATTTGGCAGTACTTAAATTAATCTTCATTTTAAATAAGGTGATGGCTGCATAATTTATCATGCCTCGAGAGCAACAGCAGCCGCACACAACAATAGAAAAAAATCTGGAAAACACTGAAAAACACAGAAAAAGACCAAAAAGAGAGCAACTTTTAGGTTGCCATTGCGATTCGCTTTTCATTTATTACCCAGCCGACCCGTTGCACACTTTTAATTAATTTGTTTCATTTATTACAGCATGTGTCTAAAAGTTGCTCTTGTTTTCCCCCATAGTCATGCACTTGTGCACTTGTGCATTTCGCTTTTGTCTGAGGCTGTCGACTCAGATTCCAGCTTTCTTTCCATAATTCTCGAAATGTTTCTCGGCAGTCTATGAAAAATATGAGCACACATTTTCCCAGCCAGAGACACTATCATTTTATAGCTCACACATGCCCACATTTCGTTTCACTCTCCGTGAAAATATTCTTGATTTAATTTCCTTAATGGCGAAAATTCTGTTTACAATTTCTGTCGGAAGGTCACTGAAGATAAATGTCGAGCAAACATAAAAGAAACGACGTCAAATTGGTAAAAACAGAACAATTTTAGCAGCGTTAAAAGCAAAGGCAATTTCTAGTTAAATTATACAAAGAATTTAAGTCAAAAAGGCAAAAAAGATGCTCCTAGTCAAATAGGTGCACAAGCATTCTTAAGAAAATATTAAAATATTGCATAGTAAGCTCGATATGCATAATGATCTCGAAGATCAGCTCCTAGAGGTTTCCATTCAATGGTTTCCATTCCCGGCCAACTTACAAAAGCCTTTTCAGTGAGTTCGCTTCTATTTCGCACACTTCAGCTGCCATTCCTCTTCAATTTGCTGCAGCTACAGCCTTCTCAAGCCTAAGCCACATTTCACTTCTTTCAAACTGTCCATCCATCAGGCATAAAGTCGCCGCCTTCGCAGCCATTGAAAGTTCTCGCCGGGATGGGGCCATAAAAAATGGGTGCAGCAGCTCCACATCCACGAAACATCCCTTTTCACATCCTTGACTTGCCTCGAACAAAGGCCCAAAATTCTTTTTGGCCCAGACCCGTGTGTATTTAAACTGGCAACTAAATGGAAGTCGCAACTGTGTAACATACGGCATCATTCATCTTGCCACGCCCCCATGCCCCACGCCGCCAACCGCCCACTCACATGGCAGCTGGCAAGGGCGGGGGGAGGAGCTAAATAAATGCACTTGATTTCATTTCATGATGATGCATTTTTAGCTGACCTCCCATAAAGCACACATCTCGACTTGCTCCGCCGTGGAGGCAGTTGCTTTGTCATTATACCCGGGATCGAGGAGCTCGCCCAGTGGATTTGGCCCATCCATTCCGGACTCGTGAGCCGGTACTTACTTTTAAGGAGCGAGAAAAATTGCTTTTCGATGCGAGAAAATGTGGTGAGGTTGAAAGTTTTGACCCAGGCAAGCTATATTAGATTTAAAACAATTCGGCTGTTTTTATCTATAAAAAGTATTAAGTCTTTAAAGAAAGCTAAAAGGAACATGATAATATAATAATAATAATAATATAAATAGAGAATTTTCCTTCTTTTCCTTGCCCCCTTTTCGCTCACTGTAGCCTGAGTTGAAAAGACGAGCACATAAAACGCACATGTAGCCAAGACATATGAACTAAATCTGCTCGCCGGCGGCAACTCTGCCACACATGCCATCATCTAATAACTCGGGCATTATGCACATATCAAATATATCTCATAATGCCGCACCGACTTGCCACGCCCCCCCAATGAACGCCGCCCGCTGCCGCCCACTTTGCGGCGGTGTGTCAAAACAAAAGTCGCCGCACGTTGCATGCAGGGCATATTAAAAAGTTTGATTAGCGTCCAGTTCGCTGGCTCTGCCACGCCCACCCCCGCCCACTGTCCGACAATACACACACACACACATATGCCCACGAACATGAGTATGAATACATATACATATATGGACAATATTTGGCTCGGGTTTTTTTGTGAATCAACTATTTGCGAAAACTATTTGGCTAGCAAAAATGTAGCAAGTTCCCTGTTGCTCCTGCTGCTATTTTGTTTCGGCCCCCAAATCATCCGCCCGCTTTAGGCCCCCCACATATATAGATATATATATATACAATATGTAGGGACAGGCCCCCGGAAAAGCCCGATTTTGCCATCATACTTTCCTGAATTTCTCATCTCGTCGGGTGCATTTATGCGTGAGAAATGCCTTGTATTTTGTAGCTGGTCGTCGTTGGCATATCCTTGTTCCTGTTCCATATCCAGTTGCTCCTGCCATGTTGTTATTAAATATGCATAAATTTCCTTTTTGCACAGGACTTTTGCATTTACATTTGCTGTTTATTTGTCGGTGGGAATATTGAAATTGTTACCAATGGATAGCAGATTCCAGCCCAGAGAACTTGTTTCCGGTGGGCCGCATGGAGTCGCATCTCCGGACGCAGGTGTGGATGCACCCCCTCCAGTCAGTCGGGCGGAGGTGGGAGTTGGAGGACTATATATGTACATAGATCTATCTTTCTGAGAATATATGCAGGATATGCAGCCTGGATGCGGATAATTATAATTAAAGGAGCCGGCAAGTTGTCGGTTCAGGTTTCTGACCGATTTGTGAGGACTTCGCTCCGTTTGTGTCGAATTATGTTCCATTGCAAATATCTTACTAATGAGATTGATTATTATTAACTAGTAGGCTTTCACCATTTCCTCACAATCTCTGTGTATTTGCAAATTATTTCTATATATTTTATGCAGTTTCTAATGAGTTATGGGCAGCTTATTGTCTGCTGCAGAATTTTAAAGTATATGTTTCATTTAGACCACAGTTAGATAAATCAAATTTATTAAATGCTGTTTATTTCCTCTAGCCAAATAATTATTATTAATTGGTAAAGATGTTTTTGTGGAATGCTCAATTCAGTGAATTTGTGACTATTAAAAAATAATTAATGACATTTATCGCTCTATGCAGCGTTTAATTAAAATGTGTCGTAATCAAACAATATTCTTAGTAATAACAACACATTAGATGTGTGTACAAAAGAAAATTCAGACAATAATGATAGTGATAGTGAAAGTGGTATAATGTTAAAGTAATTATAACAAACATAAATAATATTTTACATA